GCCCAGAATATTGAACAGTTTTTTTTCATGGGAACTCCCTTTTAAATTAAAATCTCAGTAATTACGTGAGACACTGCTTGTTTATGTTTACTAGAAACACAATGTTCCCAACTGATTAAACTGCTTCTCAAGGTAACACATCAAGATTGGAATTTCTTGTCACATTTCAGAAGTTGCCATGGAGTTTTACAGTCTAAACAACAACTCTAATTTTAGTGATTGTTAAAATAAGACTGTATTTAGCTTTGGGGTTTCTCTTCTTTTCTTTTCCAGTGGCTACAATTCTTTTTCAAAAGCAAAAAGTGTCCACAGTGTTATCATTAAGACCTGGGACAGAATAAATTCTCAGTTGTACTGGAAGTGACGGGCATAGCCTGCCAGAATAATTATCAACACAACACTTGACCATCCAAACCAGCATCCCCATTTGTAGTATTAGGATTTTTGTCCTTTAGAAAAGATTCTGAGAGTTGCTTAGTGCAGCATTTAGGTTTCCAAGTATCATTCTCAGGCCTTCTATTCTTATGAGAGAATTTTGTTGGATTTGAAGAGTCTTTCACTATCCTCAGAGAGCAGTGTTGTTTTTTCTTAAGGTAACAAAACACTATTTTTGAATTACATAATTCTTGGGAAGTTAAGTTAATTGGAAAGAGAAATATTGTATTCCTTTTGGTGTAAATTATCTGGTCTTGTGGTATGCTCTTCCACAAAAAAATTGTTAGTAGTGCTGCAATATCACCTTTATGAATTCTGTAATACATTGTTAATGCTAGAGCTTCCCTTAGTAATTATGTCTTTTGTTATTTACAAAATAAAAATAAAGTGTGTAAATTCTGTTTACACAGATGCAGAAATCAGAGCAAACATAGATTGTATGGTCTTATTTATGAAGAAATTAACAAAAATTATAACAATGTACTTGATATTTTTGCAGGTATAAGCCTATGCAGAAAGTGGATGGAGTTGGGGATGGCTTCACAGGAAGTGGTCAACAGACAGGCACATCTGTTGAACAAACTGTTATTGCCCAAAGTCAACATCATCAGCAGTTTTTAGGTATGAAAGCAATTTTGTACTGCTGTATAAATGAGTATGATTAACTTAATTTTCACTGTGAATGTCAAGTCACACAACTATGGTAGTTGCTTCTTAGTTACCGTGCCTGCTTTAAAATTTTTATCCACAAGAGAAAAAAAAAGCTCTTAAATTACATGTTCTGAAATCACATATTGTGAGTTCTAAGTAATATTTCCCTACTATAGATCATGTAAGTATAAAAGGAAAAAATATGCAAATTCTGTATTTTTATGATATATTTAATATTATATAAATCACTATTCAGTTGTGTGCGAAGTTGTATTAGACATGCATATTGAAATTCCTGCAGTGAAAGTCTAGTAATCCATTGGGCTATTTTGAAAGTGTGTGATAGTGTTATAAGTGGAAAGACCCAAATACTTTTAACTAGAACACCAGAGTTAATGTTTAAAAATGTCCAGGTTGGGAATTGCATTTATCCAGATAAGTATGTATTCTGTATAATTGAAACAAATGTTAATTTAGTAATTTGTTTATGTAGAAAGACCCTTTGACTGTGCTATTGCAGAAGGTGTAGGTTTGTTTGGGATTTTCCAGCACCAAATTCTTTGCTGTAATTTCTCTCTGAATGAAATAATTTGGAATATAACGCTAGCATTGAAATGTTTTGAATCTTCCTTTCCAGGTACCTTTCAGCCCAGCATTTTCTCTTCATCAGCTTGTCTCTTGGAAACATTTATGACAAATAGTAAAAGCAAACATTGCATCTACTTGAAACTCAAATAAATTTCAAATAAAAATATATATTGAGTCTCCTAAATCCCATCATAACTGGCTACATAGAAACTTTTCAGTTGAACAAGAAATAAACTGTTCAAGGATTAATCTTTCGTAGACTGATGTAGATATTTTCATTCATTCTCTAATATTCTGAATGTGTGTGTTAGCTTTTCTGTATAGGTCTAAAATGTACGTGATGTCTTTTTAATGTCAAAGGATAATATTATATTTCTTTCTGATTAAAAAATGCTGGCTGAATTTGTTTACTGTTTTAACATAGAACAGGTATGAAAGACTTGTCTCTTTTAACATTATGGCATTTTGGAATTTATTTCCATTCATAACCTTTTATTTTTTTCTCAATTATACTGTAACTGGCACTGTCCTTTATACCCCTCTTTCATGATGTTGTCATGGAAACAGATGCATCTCGAGTACTTCCAGAGTTTGGAGAAGTTGAAATATCTTCTCTACCAGACGGTACGACCTTTGAGGACATAAAATCACTGCAGAGTCTTTATCGAGAGCACTGTGAGGTATTTCCTATAAACTATTTATTTTTAAAATTCATTACTTTCATTGAATGTCAGTACAAGACAGTAATGCCAAATATATTGCATCCATATTAGTGGCATGTGACTTTCCCCCAGGATATTTTGCTTATTTAATTTACATTAGTAAAAAAGATTTTCTGGAGGGTCCCCTTTACAGAGCAAAAAAGTTATATATAACAGATGCTGAGAATCAGATTTAGTTCTGTGTATATTTTCAGAATGTTAGAGAAACGACTTCAGATTGTACATGCAAATTTTTTGTTTAGTCAATAGGACATGTAATTTTTCTATGATTATTTTTTAATTTTTTTTACAATAACAGCAGTAACTTTTGTCTCGTTTTAAAGAAACATTAAGAGGTTTAAGCCAAAATTGATATTGTGCAATTTGTCTTTTAAGTTCTTTTTTAAGGTGCTTTCAAACCTACACTGAAATGCCAAAATTAATAAAATGGCATGTTTCCTTTTCTTTGGGTGAATTCCTCTGATACATTTTCACAGGCCATGCTAATTTCTGGAGGCTTCTATGCATGTGCATTTGGCCTCACTCAGGTGTCCATGCAGACCAGTTTATAACGCTGGATAATGAATGATCATCAAAGGTATTCAACCAGACATTATTTGTAACTTGAGAAATGTAGTTTGCCTTTGCTCCACTAAATGATGAAGGAAAAAATCGTTAGGTCTAGTTGGAGTTGGGAGTAGGGGGAGCTGGGTGGAAGACAATCTATACTTGTGTTGTATTTTCTCAGGCAATACTGGATGTGGTTGTGAATCTTCAATTTAGCCTGATAGAAAAATTGTGGCAAACTTTCTGGCGCTATTCTCCCTCTGCTCCACCTGATGGCACTACAATTACTGAACCAAGGTCAGTAAATGTTTTTCACAGAATCACAGAATGTTTGGGTTGAAAGGGACCTTAAAGATCATCTAGTTCCACCCCCTCCTGCTGTGGGCAGGGACATCTTCCACTAGACAAGGTTGCTCAAAGCAACCTGGCCTTGAACACTTCCAAGTATGAGGCAGCCACAGCTTCCCTGGGCAACCCAGGCTAGTGTCTCACCACCCTCACAGGAAATAATTTCTTCCTGGTATCTTATCTACACCTCCCACCTTTCCATTTGAAACCATTCCCTCTTATCCTATCACTCCATGCCCTTTTTAAAAAAGACCCTCCTCAGCTTTCCAGTAGCTCCTTCAAGTACTGGAAGGTGCTCTAAGGTGTCCCCAGAGCCTTCTCTTCTCCATGCTGAACAACTCCAATTCTCTCAGCCTGTCTCTATAGCCAAGTTGCTCCAGCTGTTTATCTTTGTTTACTGCTTCTCATTATAATACAATATACATATAAAAAAACCTTACTGGTTATACCTGCAGAGTAGTATTTTTTTTCATATCCTAATTTTTCAGATTAAATTTATGTTGTCTGGCATTTTTGTGTAGAATGGGTGTATTTTGGTTTTGTTTACCAAAGTGTAGTCCTGAAATTATTGTAATACACTTTTGCTTAGGCAACTACAGTAAAGGTGTCTTTTCCCAATATTCTATCCAGTTCTTTTAAGCGAAAATGATCATTCATATCTCTGCATAATTTATGGGCTGTAGCAGAGATAAGGAAGCATTTTTAAAATTTGCTTCATTGTGACATAACATGTGAAGAATTTCTGTTTGGTGTAGTTGAGACATCTGTGACATCTTTATAAAATAACACATTTTAACACTCATTGCAAGTTTTTAGCTGCTCTGAATGCATTATCATTTATTAGTTTGCCACATTTTTTCACACCAGCAATTTGAGTGAAATAGAAAGTCGACTTCCAAAAGCAAAGCTGATTATTCTGTGCAAGAATGAATCTATTCTGAAATGGATGTGTAACTGTGACCATGTGATGTACCAGGCTTTGGTGGAGATTCTCATTCCTGACGTCCTTAGACCTATTCCTAGTAAGTTGAACATCAGAACAATTTGTAAGGATTTCAGTCTATGCATGTGTATGGGGGTGGTGGTCTTGTGCCTCATAGGATGGCTTTGGGAATCAGTTTATCAGTTAGGAAACTATTTATCCTTAGTTTTATTATGTATGAAGTTGTGCTTAGAATTGCTGTATACTTTGTATTTTAAAAGTAAATGAGGATTTTAGTGCAGTTGGATGGTCTAGTTTTCAAAATACAGTTTCATAGGTGCTTCTTTCTCTGTGTATTATATTTTCAGATTAAAATGTTTTCCTTTTACTTTAGCTCTAGACTAACCTGATAGATGTAAGTCCTGTGGCACTACTGTCAGTCAGTTCTTCCACTAAATTCAGTATTTTTAGTTTAAACATTACATATTAATCTGTTATTATTATGGGAAAAAAATTATCTTTGTGATTCCATTTTTGGACAGTTTATCTTTTGATTCTTATCAGTCGCTGCTGAAATCAATTTTAATGACTGCTAAAGCAGTTAAAAATTAACTCAGAAATTTTTAGTCCAATTTACTATTCCAATTTACTGTTCTTTCATATGTCCTGAATTGAAAAGTCAGTTAAGAGTATAGCTTTTCATTCAAATTTAATTTTATTAGAATCCATCATTACTTCAGCGGTGTATGTTTAGCTGGTTTTGGTAGGAAATGAAATTACATGAAGAAAATTGAACTCTTTTAGAATGCGTTTATTGTCTTGCCTATGTTGTACTAATCATAAAAAATAATGTTAGCAGCCCACTGTAAGTTTTGGAACTCATAGAATCAGAGAATGTTAGGGGTTGAATGGGACTGCTAGAGATCATCTAGTCCAACCCCCCTGCCAGAACAGGATCACCTAGAGCAGGTCACACAGAAATGCATCCAGGCAGGTTTTGAATGTCTCCAGAGAAGACTCTACAACCTCTCTGGGCAGCCTGTTCCAGGGCTCCGCCACAAGTTTTTCTTCATGATGAGGCGAACATATAAACTCCTACATACTATATCCTTTCTATGAAAATTCAGTAGTCACTTTATAAAGTTAGATTAATATTTTTTAGCAAGACTTAAGTAGCTTTGCAGCTATCAAAGTTATTTTTTCATGCTGTGAACACCTTCTGCTCTAGTCACTTCAGCAGTCATAAGTATTCTATAAGAATGCTTGCAGGTACTGCCTTGCAGAAACATTTTACTGACTTTTTGATTGTCAGTGAAATAAAATTAGGTTTTAGTAAATTAGGTATGATTAAAGATTTTTTATATTTTTTCAACTGGAAATGTATAAAATCTGACATGAGCTATTTACAAATGCAATTTGACCTTTTTTTAAAGTGAAGAGCAAGGTCTTGATAGAGATTGCCATAGCTTATTTTTTCATCTTTGTAGCAGAATAAAGGAATTTTTTTTTCTCAAATACATGCAGTTATTGATAACCATTCCTATATATATTTTTTGCATTGTTTTACATTTAATGTTTTATTTTTCTATCTAATGACAATTGAATTTTACAGTAAAGTGAATATGCAATGATTAAAAATCTCACAATTTTAATTACAATGTTTAATAGCCTAAATTAAAACTGTGTCTTGAAAAGCACATTATTTTCTGAAAAAAAAGTTGTTGCAGAAACGGTTTTTCATCACACCCACTTTTCACCTAGCTTTTCATTTGTTTCTCCAGAACAGCCTGGCAGTCTTTAAAGAAGTTTTTAGCTGATAGTTCCTTGTGGTGCCTTGTTGCTGTGTTTCATATGGTGCATTGGGCATTGCCAGTACAAGGTTTCAAGAAAATGGGACACAATCGTTTAATATCAGTAAGCATAGGTGTCAGGTCCTTTTCATGCTATGTCTTTGTTTCTAGAATAACTGATACCTACTGTGTTTGACATTCCTGGTTTTGGAATGATTATTTGACTTCTTGATGCAAGCACATAATATGATCCCAGGAAAAATTCATTCCAAGAGACTTTTGCATCTACTTAGCAAACAGTTTAGAGGTTTTCTGCTCAAGAAACCCATCCACTGAGCTATCTTTGGAAGACAACTAATGTATTTTTTTAATTATTATTTTTAGGACGAGCTAATTTAATGGCTTTTTTTATTAAGCTTTTTTGTACTGATGGTCCATACAAGTTCTCCTTTCACTTTAAATTTTAATATTTTAAATATTAGTGTTTTAACTCCTGCTTTTGAATTAAAATATCTCTAGCCGATACAAGACACCAAGAGGAAGGTTTGAGATTGTGCTTTAATGGTTGACTACGACAATAATGGAGCTGGGAAAAGTAGAAAAATTCATCATCTTCTGTGGAAAAACAGCATGTATAGGAAAGTTTGGTCTTTGTAGAGGAAAGAGGACTGTAAATGCTTCATCAAAAGCATGTTTATGACTTTTTTTCCTGCATAAATGGAAACGTACCAACAGCAGCTGTTAAAAATAGTAAAAAATATAAAGTTGTAAAGTGCTTAAAGAAGTAAGCATATGACTTTTTAAGGTTTCTCTTTCTTCATGTCTAGGTTTTCAGTGTTTCTCTTTTAGAAAAAAGTCTTCCTACTGAACTGTGTGATACTTGCTACTGGAGTAGAACAAAATTACCATTAAGGAAAAATGTTTTATTTTTAACCTCTATGTTAAATTGTCAGCTGAAATGTTTAGCACTCACAGAAGAATGAAGAATTGCTGTGTATAAAACGGCAAAATTCCTTTTCCTAAGAAAAGTTAAATGCTGTCCATTTGAGTCAAGAATAAAGACCATAATTATCTAATGTCTTTGGCAATAGACCAGAGCTATTATGCTTTAGACTGTAATTTTTGCAGCTTGACAGGTGACAGAATGGAAAGTAACAAACTTTCCCATGAGTTAGTTTCTGTCACAGGTGGAGAATTTCTGCTAAACAAGTTTCCACACTGTATTACACATTTCCAGGAAGACAAAACTTTAAAATACGGGAAAGATTGTAAAGCCTTGTTTTTATGAGATTTGCATGTCAGAGGGATTTTCAGCTGAGAGGTCAAGCTTTTTAGGTGATTATCCAAATCAAACTTGGTAACTGCCATTACAACATCCTGTATTGTGTGTCTAGTAACACTTGACTAACTCAGGCATTTTTCTTTAACTATATTTATCATGTGATTGTTTGAAAATATTTTCTTGGTTTTGGGTGGTATCCAGATGAACTTAAAAGAAGGCTTAGAGGATGGTAGATACTTGAGGTTTTGGTAATGGCTAGATGTGCTCTTAACAATGCAGTATGAAAAAAATTCTGTATTTAATACATCTGCAAAGCTCATTAGAAACTCATGCATGTTCAATGCAATAGTGATGCCTGATTACCCTAACTACTTAATTTCAGAATTTAGAATTCCTTTCATTTATTCCTCTTTCTTCCTAGTTAAAAGCCTTTCTTAAGGTCTGAGCTGCTTTTCCATGTTTATTTTTAAAGGGGATCAGCATTACAATGATGCGAACAATATATAGTTTGGTGAAAAAGTGTAATAAGTAAATTAGAAGTGAAAAAGTAGTAATATTTTCTTTAAATATTTAAGGATCGTTCATACAATATTTACATGACTCCTTTCACACTGCATTTTCTAGATCTATAGGTAAGAAAATGTGAGTGAATGCATAGTTAATTAGTAAATGCACATAAATACTTTGCAAAGTGGCACAGGTGAGCTAGGTGATTAACAGAATTGAAGAAAAAGACTTATTCATCATGTGGAAACCTCAAGAGAGGGAAAAAGAAATCCTGGTGCTATAGAGTATTCAGCTAATACAGATATTTTTAAAGATCAAACTGTGTTCAGATAAGCATCCAAATGTGTAGTCAGTTATATAATTTACTGATACAGATTCTACTGCGTATCACTGCAAATGTGAAAACACGTGAAAGACATGAAAAATTTATTTTTTCTTTTAGTAAATTTACTTTCTTGTTAAATAAGGGATCATCAGTAATTCAAGAGGTAAAAGCATTTTTTCAAAGACAAGTTCTATTAGCATTCATTTCTTACTCTATCAGAGTATTCAGCCTTATGAACAGAATCCAGTCAATCTTTGCTTGGACGGCTTCTCACATGTAGCCAAAAATAGCTTGAAAATAAATAATATTTCCTCTTCCTAGTTTTTTCCTCTGGACTTTTGTAGTTACATAATTCTCTACTAGTCTTTAGAAACCTGCAAATTTTTTTCTTTTTTATCTACTCCTTTTTGCAGCTGTTTGAGTGGATGCTATTATGTCAATGAGCAAGTGATAGATAGGTATGGGAAAGTGAGGTTTCTACTACTCAAGAAATATGATTTTATTTTCTCCAGACTCAGTTCCCTGTGAAAATACTTTCTGTCTTCCTCCTTAGAAAAATTAAAACTTACATTTTGAGTAATGCAGATTACTGCATGGGCTTCTTCAATTTTTCTCTGAGTCTCTTGACAGCCTCTCAGCAGTTCTGTGGGTGCTATAGTAGAAAAAAACATTCAAATTGCACAGCTATTTGAATAATCTCACTTACTGAAAGTGAAAAAAACTCCTGTATCCTGCTTATTGATGATATCTTAAGCTCTGCATGTAGGGTTTTGTTCTTTAAAACTGTAGTAAGGAGCACCATGACATGGCTTAATGTTACTTTGGGCTCATTTAAGTAAACCACAGTATTCCAATAATAGAAACTTTTTCCAGAATTTTGTTCTTTAAAAGAGGTGCTTAGATGAAATGGAAATCTGAAAGTTTGTGATGGAAATTTCCATCACAATAACCACTTCAATTACTGATGTTCTTTTATAGGAGCACCCAGGACTATACTGCTGGTCACAGAGTAATTGAAAGCTTGTTAGATGAGGAAGTCAGAACTGCTTATAAAACCAAAATTAAAATGTGTATTGTATAGTCTGTCTGAATGAGGCATTTTGAGCCTCTACTGCATTTGCCTTTTAGTAAGCAAAGGCAGTGGACCTGTAGAGGTTGCAAAACATTTAAAGACAAGTACATTTCTTTATTGCATTCTGTTTTTATTCTTTAATGCACAGGTGCCTTGACCCAAGCCATTCGCAATTTTGCAAAAAGCCTTGAAGGTTGGCTCTCAAATGCCATGAACAATATTCCACAGAGGATGATACAAACCAAGGTAGAGAAAATTGTTACAGTTTAATTCTTTCAATGGCAAACCGAGTGGACAGTAGCATCCAAAAGCAGTAACATTTTAACTTTAATACTAAATTTCATGTATAGCATCAGGCTTCAAACAATGGGAGAGGAAGTAACTTAGTTTTCTCAAAAAATTGTAAGGAAGACATTATTTGGTCTGCTACATGGACACAATACACACATGAGGGCTCGCTAATAAAGAATATTAGAAAGAAGGTAAAGACTCAATCTATAGTATTATTCTACAGATAAAATGAATGATATTTAAAAATAAATCAATTTCTTCCTAGGTTGCCGCTGTAAGTGCCTTTGCCCAGACTCTGCGAAGATACACATCTCTTAATCACCTGGCTCAAGCAGCTCGTGCTGTACTTCAGAATACTTCTCAAATCAACCAGATGCTCAATGATCTTAACCGTGTTGATTTTGCCAATGTTCAGGTAAAATTTAGCTTTAAATAACAGATTTTTTTTTGGGGGGGGATGGTATTTGTTGCCTCTATTCTGAACTTTATTGCTAGCTGTAATTATTTTATCAAGAAAGTGAAGTTAAATCATTCTGCTGATTCATACATGCAGTAATTCAGTCCAAATTTAACAGCTTACACTTAAGGAAAGTAAGAGTTCAGACCCATTATCTGGTTCCATTTTCTGTTTTTTAAGTGTATATATTCTTAGAGGTTCTATGCAAATGGAGAGCAAACACATTCTTACAATGGGTAAAATGGATGATGTCTTAGCAATAACATATGATATCTTAGGTGTCAGGTAGCAGCACAGGTTCTGAGTGTCTCTAAGAGCTATTAAATGCACAAGATTGCTTATAGTGTAGACTGTTTCATTATTTCAAAGACTAGTATTAGTATACTTTATATACATGCTATGCTTAAATTTACAAGATCTCCTGAGTTATTGATTATATTAGTACATATTTATACTAGTTTACAGTTAGATAGAGAATGTGAGTTTATATTTTCACTAAGCTTAATTTCTCTACATGCTTCTGCTTTTCTGAGGAAAAGTTTGGGTTTTTTTGCCCAGCAAAGTGAAATGTTCCACATTAATGGTAGTTTGTCTCTTTTTCTTGTGAGTGTTTTAAAGTGCTTGTTAATAATCTTATTAAAAGTCAGTTAAAAGTACTTGATCAAAGATACAGTGTATCATAATATGTTAACATGGATATGGAGTCTGTGAATGTTTGTGATAGCTACAGTTTGAGCACATGGCTTGCACTTAGTGAGCCTTCATTTTTTGTCTCTTAGTTTCTGAATTGAAATGCTAGTCAAACTTAGAATTGGTAACACTGACTAAATTGCTTATTATTATATGCAGAGTGTGTTTCTCCATTTGTATGAAGTTTATGTTCTACTTTAGGTAATCTGTATTTGATTACTGCCTGTAGTCAGCAAACAAGACAGTCCTTGTTTACATACAAAGCTTTCTTTTGTAAGAGGATAGAACAGAAATTTTCTTTAAGCTTAACCTCTTCTGAATGAAAGAAACTTTGCACTTGATTTCTTGCTACCTCTTTTATTACCTTAGTCGCCCACTTAACTATACTTCCTGCTTGCCCTGCCTGTAGTCCCTGAAAAAAACTGACAGGTCCCAATTATTTTACTAGAAAAAGGATTAATTAGTACAATTGAGAATTGAAGTATTCTTGCGTTATTTCCATTGTTTGTTCTCATTTCTTTATTGATGTCTTCTATGCTATGTTTTTCCCATTGTTTTGCTTTCAACAAAAATAAGTTAGACATAAAAATAAAAACTGGTACGTGGCTGGTAGTTTGCCTGGTACGTGGCTTTTGTCCTTTTCATCCATTGAATTGCTTAATCTTCGAGAAAGAATGATATTTGGTGCTCTGGCTTACATATTGTGAATTCAAGAGTTGTCATGTACTGTAACAGGAGCAGGCTTCCTGGGTGTGCCAGTGTGATGACAACATGGTTCAGAGACTAGAAACAGATTTCAAGATGACTCTTCAGCAGCAGAGTACTCTGGAGCAGTGGGCTGCCTGGCTTGATAATGTAATGATGCAAGCACTGAAACCATATGAAGGAAGACCAAGCTTTCCTAAAGCAGCTCGGCAATTTCTGTTAAAATGGTCTTTCTACAGGTAGGATTTAATAGAACATTCTAACTATCCTATTATTTGCTGAATTGTTCACTGTAGTAAAGTTGACAGATCAAATATCAAACATTGGCTTGGTCAGTTGTGAAACACGTGTGGGCGTTTTCAGAAAATTGTTCTTATCTTGAACTCTAGGCTTCTTGTAAATTAACAGGGACTCAAATGTACCTTGTTTATTGTTTTAAAGGCCAGGTACAAATTAATGCAGATGGAATTCTGTACTGAGTTTTAAACATAATATGACTTTTTTTTGCTAAATAACCACACGATTATTAAGCCACTATTTTAAATAATATTTAATAAGTATTATTTATACGTGTTGTATTATTTTTATGAGACATGAAGACAAAACCTGTTTCTAACATGTAAAAAGAGCATTAATACAGGCATTCCATGTCAGCTACTTATTCAGTAAACCTCATTCTTTGAAAATTACTGTAGCAACTATTTTCTGAAGATACACGAATTTGTCAATGAAACGTGCACACTCAATCTTCAGAAAATTTACAAATTTAAGTTTAAACATTTTTAAACTGTGAAATGAAAACCTTTGTACTGGGAAGGTGGACACAATAAACAATATTTAAACATTAGTTCAACATTTCAGAGTTTTCATATTATTTCAGTTGCTTATCTTTTCATTCAAATTAGGTTTTGCACATGCTCAAGTGTTCTTAGTTATGCATTTATCAAAACAAAGAAAAACAGAAAACAAGTCAATCTAGTTATTTCTTATGTAATGTTCTGTCCAATAACTTCAGAAAAAGGAGAGAAGGAAATTATTGCCTTTCCTGTGCGTCTCTTTCTGAAAACACCATAAATCAGACATTTGTGGGTAACACTACTTTTGAGAATATTGGCTTTGGGGTGAAATGTCTGACATGGATAAGTGTTAGAATGAGCATGACATATAATACATAAATATGCATTTTTTTCTGTTTTTTAACAGCTCCATGGTGATTCGAGATCTAACCTTGCGCAGTGCTGCTAGCTTTGGCTCTTTTCATCTGATCCGCTTGCTTTACGATGAATACATGTTTTACTTAGTAGAACATCGTGTTGCTCAGGCAACAGGAGAGACACCTATTGCAGTTATGGGAGAGGTAAGATAATATGTAAGAAACTAGATTGATAGATTTAGTGATAAATTTTGAGTATGCATATTTGCGATTTTTAAAAATATTTCTGTAGAGCTGTAAGATGTTCTACTATATAACAATAGTTACAAATACAACAGTTTAAACTTGTTTCATTGGTTGATTGTCAGAGTTCTAAAATTACACTGAATTCTAATAAACCGTTATTTCCAAATGAGCTTGCTCCTTTACAAATCTGCTTGCAGATTCATGAACACAGTTTGAAAAATGTTGATGAACATAAAATCTTATTCCAGCTTTTGACAACTGAGTATTTTATGTGAAAATAATAAAAGTACAGAGTAATAGGAAAGTTTTACCTACATGGATCTGTTTGTTTTCAGTTCCCAGATGTTAATACAAGTGAGGTGAGTACCTCCATTAACTTCAGAAGGATGGCTTATGTGCAAACTTTTGGCTTGTACAGTACTGTTTCCATGCATGTAAAACCAACACAGACATACACAGAGGTTCGCAATACAGTTCCTTTTCATACATGTTTTTCAAATATTATTTGTTATAAAAACAGAAGTATCAATTTGTAACTTTTTTATACTGATCTATGGCGTCTGCAAGGCAACGTTTATCTTACCCCTTTTTTTTTCCCAGTAGTTCATCTAACCTTTTATTTTGAGTGAGACAGTGAGGAATGCAGGAATTGTCATCAAGGAATTGTACTTCAAAAGTGCTGGAAAATGGATACATTTGAAAATAGGCTAGATAGCCAATTGGACAGATTTGTTATATTCTTATACTTAAGATTCACAGTATCATATTCTGTGTTACTAATAAATGGCTAGGCATTTTGCAACTTGATTTGGCATCAGGTATCATTCTTCTCTCAACATATATTGACAGGCTCATTAAGTACTATAAACAGATACCATACTTTCAAGAGAAATTGGAATGTGTCAGCTTTATTTGTCAAATTATTTTATATCATGTCAGCATGACACATTTCAGAAAAACTAAAAAACAACGTTTCTGCTTAATGACCCACCAATACTATATTTGCTTGATCTCTACCTTAGATGAGCACAATGTAGTTACCACATTCCTGTCTTCCCAACTGACATTGTATGTTAGGATATACAGGTAGTAGTGTCTTCAGATAGCTTATGTAGACTGAAGATGTAGATATGAGGAAGTAAAACATTTGGAGTTCAGAGGAACAGAGTAGAAGCAGTAAATAATAAATTACAGGGGTTTTTATGTTTTTGTATATTCAATGACTGTGAATGAAATAAAATGAGGAAGTGTAAGACTGGTCTGACAAACACCATAAGACCTGGTGTTGCAGCCTAGAAGAACATTCTAATTTTTCTCCCTTCCTCTTCTCCAGCTTTGGACAGGGGTATTGGCAGAATCCTTCTGAAAAAAATGTACTGCTTTAATTTGATATTCATTGAGATTCTCTGAGATTCAGAGAAACTTAGAGGATTCAGGGGACAAAAGGGAGGAAGGTTGTACATCTAGCTTGTGAGTAACTTTTTTTATAAGGTCTTTTTTTGATGTAAGTAAATTGGTTACCAGATTGTAAAACCTTTCTCAGCAGTTCCTTTCATCTACCTTACAGGTAGATTTGCAACACTGACACAACTTATCTTTATTCCAGAACTATTAAAGTTGTCTCTGGGATCTTTTAAATTAAAAGAGCTTTTTGTTAACATACTTGCGGTTCAGAATGGGTATCTGTCACAATTTATAGTTTTATATGGTACAGAAGTAGCTCATCTCAAGCAAGAAAGGCCCTGACAAAGCAATCTTTTGAAGTTTGTGCCTCCCCATTTTCATTCTTAAGGTTTACTTAATGCAAATTGTCTTAATAATCCATGACTAGGGTGAAATGGAAAATTAATTGCTGAACTGTGGATGTGGCTGCAGTCAAGATCGTGTGTTTGAATGCTAACCTCAAACCAGTGGAGCACAGATGCACTCGGTCACATTAATACTCCTAAGTCCACATTTGGTTAGGACTGTGTCTAATTTTTGTATTGTTTGTTTTGCAGTTTGGTGATTTAAATGCTGTTTCCCCTGGAAATATGGATAAAGGTAGGCATTCTGATCTCTCCAGTATATCATTCTGTATAGAGCTAGTGTGTCTCTTCGAGTGAACTAAGTCCTTATATTTTAAAAATACAGTAAATCAGAATAGTTCTTTCTTTACAGTGCATGTATATGTTATGCAGATATGTTTATTATATTGATATAATAAGCTATGTAATAATAGAGCATATGACAATTACTAGAATACTAGAATATATTTTAAGTGTGTTTAATATGGATACAAGAAATACTCCTGATTTTTATGGAGACTGGAGTCGTATCTGATAGGTCATCCTGAGATAGGTAACAGCTGCACGAACAAAGACTGCAGTATGCTTATCTATGTTTATCTTCAATATAAATGTTTTGCAAAGTGAAGAAGGCAGAATTGCATTCAAGTAGTTGTCGTATAACTTGTCGGTGAAGAGCACTGAAAGAAATGAGTTCTTTATAACCTCTTCATGCCCTGTTTTGGCTTACATTCTTATACTGACTAGTTGAGTGAGCGTAAGAACATATGTTATAATTTGA